ATACTGGCTTTTAGGCAACCCCTGAACCTCGGAAATAAACTAATCAGTAGGAAACTTCCTTCTGATTATGATGTTACAAATAATGGAAGCAAACCCTGCAATAAGAAACGCTGCAAACTGTGCAACCAAATTAATTCATCAAAAAGTGTTACACACTCAAAAGGGATCTTCAATATCACCGGATCATACAGCTGCACCTCCAGTAATGTTGTGTACCTTATCCAGTGCAGAAAATGTAACAAAGGATCATACATTGACAAAACAGGACAGAAGTTGCAAACAAGGATGAATTTGCACAGACATACCATCAAGGAACATAAAGAAGATGACTTCTGCACACCTGTGGGACACCATTTCACACAATCGGACCACACTATGGAAGACCTCAATATCCTAGTTCTTAAAGGAAATGTCATAACTATCCAGGAAAAGAAAACTTTTGAATTAAGAATGATATTTCTATTTGATACAAAAGATAACGGTCTTAAATTGGACATGGGATTCCTCACTCATTATCCAACAGTTTTAGGACCCCCTCTGTGACTGACTGTTGTCTCAACTACCCCTCCAAAGTCTTTGCTTTTGCTCTGTCTTCTCTTTAGTCTAATCCTAGTTTTAGAACTATTGTTGTGTACATTTGTTTGTGTGTGTTTTTTTCTTTGTTTTTTTTTCCCCTCAGATATTGTTTCTTTTAACATTCTGCTAAAACTTTGTGAAGTAGTACTGCTTGGACCTTGAAGAAGGGGACATACCCCAAAAGATTGTCCTGAAAATTGTATGTTAGTGCAAATATTATTATTATTATTATACAGTATTTATAAAGTGCCAATGGTTTGCTCAGCGCTGTACATTACAAAGGGGGACAGAACATGTGACAGAACAATACCAATACAATGCAACACATGAGGGGATTGAGGGCCCTGCTCTTTCGAGCTTACAATCTAGAATAAAAAAAGTATCACAGACAGTACTCAAGTGGATTGGAGTAACCCAAAAAACAGGTTGATAAAGAAGCAGGATTGCTTCAATATGCATCCCTGTATTTTGGGGTACACAGTGATGACAACAGGTTTTCGGCTCTTGGACTCAAGACCTTGCAGCAGCTCCATCCATCTCTGCCAGCAGTGTCATTTCTACTTCAGCCCATGCTTTCCCCAGTCAGTGGCCAAGGTGGGGATCTGGGATAACTCAAACACCGATTCTGAACCTATCCTCCAAGCCATCTGACAAGCTCTATACCCCACAGTTGTTTGTGAGTGCAACTATTGATTATATTTTGTCCATTAAACTTCCTTATGCATTCTACACTATGGGGTGTGCACTCCTCTCTCTCCTTTCTTAATCCACTGATTTTTAGAACTTTTGAGACTTCACCGATAAGGTCTTCACAGCCCTCCCATATGCCAATATGAAGTCTTACACACTTATTACATGAAAAAAGAAGATTACATTTTATACAAAGCTCCGACTAGAATGATTTTGATCCGAGTCCACAACTAATAGGCATATAAGAACTGTTTTAGCAGCCAAAATATATCCTGTTCAGCTAGTGTGCTGATTCCTTGGCCACAATGTGAACCAGGAATATAACATCCTACTTTCCTAAATTAAACTTTGCAGCTTCCTGTAAGATTGCCAAGTTGCGGTACTGCTATTACAATATTAAGTTATTTTTCAGCAAAGCAGAGAGGTGACACAGGAAGCTGCAAAGCTGAGCCATAAAATAGTGGTGTCACCTGCCTAACTGTTCGATGTGGCTGAGGTGCAATTATCACAGTACTGACTGAACAGCATTATAAGCCATTTGGCAGTAAATCAGTTCATAAATATATATAACTTTGAACTATGGTTTTAACAATTTGCCTGGATTTCACTTTAACGCCCTATACCAGCTTGAATAAAAAAAAAGTGGTGACATGTAGCTCCCACTGGTCCTTAACCACTTGCTAACCCTGCTGTAGCCAAATGATGGCTGCAGCATGGTTGTCCAGTTTGGGGAGAGTGTCATATGATGTCCTCCCAGAGCACACCCTCCTGCGTGCCCCCAGCAGCACACACCCAACGATCTCCGTGATCGCTGTGTCCTATGGAAACAGCTGATCACATGATGAGCTGTTGGCCAATCTCAGCGGCCTTTTACCACGTGATTATCTGTGTCTAATGACACAGCAGATCACCGAGTAAATACAGTTGCTGGTTATCGGCAGCACTTTCCTCATGCTGCGTGAGGAAAGTTCTGCTGATAACCAGCAAATGTGACAGAACAGATCTGCACTGATCATCAGGGCACTGATTATTAGTGCCCTGATCATCAGTGCCCAGCAGTGCCACTCTGCAGTGCCACCCACCAGTACCCAGCAGTGCCTCACACCAGTGCCGCCCATCAATGCCCCCCATCAGTGCTGTAGAAGCAGCTGTGCCCATCAGTGCCACCAGTCAGTGCTGCCAGTCAGTGCCATCAGTCAGGGCCGCCCAGGTACACTGAAAACATAAGAATAGAACAGACAGTGCACCAGCCTAGTGAATTTTCCTCAAAGCTAAACTTTATTATTAAAACTGTGGTAAGTATTACACTTACAAACCAACAGGTGTATACAGCAAATTCCAATCCACAATGCATCACATCACATGGTGAAACATACAAAGATCCAACCGCTGACGCGTTTTGAGGTCCTTTGAGTGATCTATAATGCGCCTGGCTTTACAACTCCCTAAGGAAAAAAAGATATTGGTGGATCACTGGAGCACCAATAAGGGGTCCAAATTTGGGACACAATTGCAGACAGATCATCACAGAACAGAACGCATCATTTATTGAGACACTACTCCCCTGCTGATCAGGCTCTCTCATACTTAAGGGCTGTCCTGGCCCCATGCCAAGCCTCCTGCTTGGGGATTGGCCAGGCTCTCTTAAGTATGCAGATCAGCCCCTCTTCACCCCACCCACTGCCTTCGAGAAACTTCTCAAGTTTCTAGAGCAGGGGGAGGTATCAGGGAACTGACCTGCAGAGCCCTCATCCCTGACTCCTGGCTGACACATCCCAGGCTGACTCATCCCAGGCTGATATTCTATGCCTAAAAACACTACACAGGTAAGGTGCCATAAGCTGAAAGCTGAGCTGTGCATGTGCAGAAGACTGAGAAGGCAGGTAGGTGTATTTTATTGCAGAAGGGACAGTGCATGCCTCTGCTTGCTTGTTGCCATGAAGACTGAGATTGAGCTCTGCAGACAATTTTGCAGCAATTGTTTCCTTATTCTGGGTCACAATCCTGCGCAAATTCCTTTTGTCTCTTTCGGTCAGCTGACCATGTCAACTGCGCTTTTGCCTATCAGACAACATTTTCCCATAAACTGTATATGCCGCCATAAGCTTTGATGCTGTACTTCATGACACCGCAAATAAATTGGCAACTTTAGTTACAGAGGCACCAGCTGAGCAGCACTAACAATTTGCCCTCTTTGAAGCTCAGTAAGCTCTGACATGAGTCCATATTACTAGCAGCACATGCAGTGAATGATGAAAGTGAGGCTTCTCACCTGTTAACTAGGTGTCTCATCACACAGCAGAAGCAAAAGAATATTACATCACTTCCACTTTCAACCTGAAACATGTTGTCCCTTTTGCATCTTCAAATCATGTAGCACTTCCATATTTTTTTGTCTAACCCCTGCACAAGGAAGCAAGTAAACATGTTGTACCTCAAGTTAATGTGTTGAAAGCAGAAAAATGGGCATCGTAGTTTGTTGTGTATGGAGCTGCATAGCCACAGACTGGTCAGGGAGTCCACAGCAAAAAGTACCTAAAATGGGTACATGAGCATCAGAACTGGACCGCAAAGCAATGGAAGAAGGTGGCCTGGTCTGATGAATCACATTTTCTTTTACATCACGTGGATGGACAGGTGTGTGTGCATCATGGGAAGAGACGGCACCAGGATGCAGTATAGGAAGAAGACAAATTGGAAGAGGCAGTGTGATGCTTTGGGCAATGTTCTGCTGGGAAACCTTGGGTCCTGCCATTGATGTGATTATTATTTGACACATACCATCTACCTAAACATTGTTGCTGATCAAGTACGCCCCTTAATGGTAACAGTATTCCCTGATGGCAGTGGCTCAGCAGGATAACGCACCCTACCTCATTGCATAAATACTTTAACCACTAGCCTACAGGGCACTTATACCCCCCTTCCTGCCCAGGCCAATTTCCAGCTTTCAGCGCTGTCACACTTTGAATGACAATTGTGCAGTCATGCAACACTGTACCCATATGAAATTTTTATCATTTTTTTGAGACAGATTAAGCTTTCTTTTGGTGGTATTTAATCACCTCTGGTATTTTTATTTTTTCTAAAACAAACCAAAAACCACAGAAAATTTTGAAAAAAAAAATGTTTTTTCTTAGTTTTTGTTATACAATTTTGTAAATAAGTGATTTTTCTCCTTCACTGATGTGCGCTAATGAGGCTGCAGTGATGGGCACTAATAGGCTGCACTGATGGGCACTGATAGGTGGCACTGATGGGCACTGATGAGGAGGCACTGGTAGGTTGCACTGATGGGCATTGACAGGCATCACTGATGGGCACTGAAAGGCAGCACTGATACATGACACTGGTATATGGCACTGATAGGCAGCACTGACTGGCACTGATAGGTGACACTGACTGGCACTGATAGGTGGCAGTGATTGGCATTGATATGTGGCACTGACTGGCACTAAAACAAACCAAAAACCACAGAAAATTTTGAAAAAAAAAAATGTTTTTTCTTAGTTTTTGTTATACAATTTTGTAAATAAGTGATTTTTCTCCTTCACCGATGTGCGCTAATGAGGCTGCAGTGATGGGCACTGATAGGCTGCACTGATGGGCACTGATAGGTGGCACTGATGAGGAGGCACTGGTAGGTTGCACTGATGGGCATTGACGGGCATCACTGATGGGCACTGAAAGGCAGCACTGATACATGACACTGGTATATGGCACTGATAGGCAGCACTGACTGGCACTGATAGGCGGCACTGACTGGCACTGATAGGTGACACTGACTGGCACTGATAGGTGGCAGTGATTGGCATTGATATGTGGCACTGACTGGCACTAATGGGCGACATTGAAAGGAAGCTCAGATGAGCACTGATATGTGGCATTGATCTGCACTGGTATGCACTGATATGTGGCATTGATGTGGCACTGATGGGCACTGGCACGTGGCACTGATGAGCACATACTGGTGGCACTTCTGGGGCCACACTGATCATCAGGGCACACTGATCATCAGTGCCCTGATGATCAGTGTACATGTCTCCTCGCGGATTACCGGCTCTCCTCCAGAGCTGTCAGCTCGAGAGGAGAGAAATGCCGATAACCGGCATTTCCGTGTTTACATGTGATCAGCTGTGATTGGACACAGCTGATCACATGACCGAGCCGACATCTTCGGCTCTTTCCGTGATCCGCTGTGCCCGAGGGACACAGTGCACCGGCGATCGCCACGCTGCGCGCTCCCTGAGCCGCGCATGCGCGGTGAGAATGGAAGGACATCATATGACGTTCTATCAGAACGAGAGAACCACCTTGCGCCCGTCACTGTACTATAGGGCGGGCGGAAGGTGGTTAAGAATGGTTTGAAGAACAAAACGGTTTTAGCTGTTAACATGGCCTCCAAATTCTCCAGATCGAAATCCAATTGAGCATATGTGGGATGTGCTGGATAAACAAGTCCGAACCATGGAGGCCCCACCTGGCAATTTACAGGATGTAAAGAATCTGCTACTGATGGCTTGGTGCCAAATACCACAGAATACCTTCAGAGGTCTAGTGGGGTCCATGCTTCCATGGGTCAAGGTTGTTTTGGGCCGAAAAAGGGGGACCTACGCAATATAAGGAGGTTGGTCATAAAGTTATGGCTGCTCAGTGTATATCAGGATGTATACTCCTGTATATTGACTATATGTTTTTGTCCTAGGATTATATAATATTTGTTTGATATTACAATTTATTGAAATGAAAAAAAGAAGACCTGTCAAGCCATTACATACTCAGACCCTGAATAAGTCCTTGTTTTCTTCTTGTTCTGAAATAAAATTCCTTTTCGGTGTAGAATTTCATTTACAATTTATTTTTTTGTAAAAGTTATGCGTAAGAGCCATCTCGGAAAGCCAGTGAAGCAGTGCAGCCCCTCGCCTATCTGATCCACAGAGCAAAGTTCCATCTTTAACATTACAATATATTAATAGAAAATTAGCAGAGACGGGGAACATAGCTGAGTGGAAATTAATCCTATTAAAATGGAAATAAGTTCAGCCCAGTCGCAGTTCCAGGTACGATTGTGTTTCTTTCAGTGTAAAATGTATTTTCACACAGAAATTGGTCGTCGTTCCAGTGTTCACACCCTTGAAAAATTCCAATTATGCCCCGGCCTTGTAGGCTGGTATGCCTGCCATTAACACATTTGTTTTCTAGTACATTCTTGTAGTGCCACCCCGACCCACACTGACAAACAAAAAGATTCTTGAGACGTGTAATGTTCCTGGAGAGCCGTGCTGGAAACGTGGAGCTGTCACTGCGCTCTACACCACAAACTCAAGGATTTTCCTCTTCAAGTGGAACCGGCAAAGAGGCAATTTTCATGTGTTGAAGGACAAGTGTAAACATTCAGATGAAGTATGCAACTTTAATTATGGTTTACCAAAGAGCAAATTTAAGGGGAATCTGTCATTAAAACAAGCAGGATTTAAATTACCAGCCGAGGCAGCTTGCAGCAGAATTTTTCCTGGGGCCGAGACTAGAGGAAGATTGTGTACAAATATTGGTTGGGTTTGAAGCTGTAGGAATTTAGATTTAAAGCTGAACTTCAGGCTGATATAAAAGACACAAATTAAAGCAGTATTAAAGCCAAAAACAAAAGTGTAATATGTTGCAGCTTACCAGCATTGGTGTATTTAGGTTTTGTGCTGCCCTAGGCAACATAATAAAAATCATCTGCCCCCATGGACACCGACCAACACCAAATCCCCCTTCTCCCTTCTGTGGAGAGAGCCTGACATTGGCCAACAACACCCCCACCTGGAAGAGCCTTCCTCTATCCCCCCCCCAGCGATAGAGAGAAAGACTGTCAGGAATGGACTTGCCAGTGGTGGTGGGACTCACCTGCCTTGTGGGCTGCAGTACCAGGGCTGGCCAGTGGGTGCTCTCAGCAACCAGAGGCTCACTCCTGCAATGAGCCATCACCTGAGGCTGATTACAGCAGGTGTATTTAAGGAATGGCCAGGCCTGTGATCAGGGCCTTGGTGTATGTTTCCCATGAGCCCCTGTACCTGCATCCTGTCTGCTTCCTGCCTGATCCTGATTCTGCTTTAATCCTGACTCTGCATGAACTCTGCCTGTCCTGACCTCGGCTATTCCTGACTACACTTCCGCCTGCTCCTTGTACCTTGCCTGCCCGTTTGCTACCGACCCGGCCTGCCCGACTATGACTATGTTTAGTATTGTTCTTATTGTTATCTGTTGGAGGTTTGGTTGCACTGTGTTTATGTTTAGTCTTGTACTGCGTTTATGTATTGTTTAGTCTTTAATAAATTGTATTGTTTATACTATACCTGGAGCCTGTGTTTCCCTGTGTCAGTCCACACATTTCTGGTCATACCCGGATCCCTAACAAAGACACTCATCTTCATCTCTGAACATTCCCAGGAACAAGAGCCAGGCTCTACATACACCATCAAGCAGCCTGCAGCCTCTCTTGGATCCCACCTGGTTCCCATGGAGCCCATATCCCTTCTTTCGTTCTCTTCTTCTGAGGGAGAGGTGCTGCCCCCCTGAAAAATGCAACCCTAGGCAAGTGCCTTGTTTGCATTGTGGTACATACGCCACTGCTTACCAGCTATTAGATGTGGAGGCTAACAAGCAGAGAAAGAACCTCTAAGTGTAGCAGCCAAAGTTTATTATATAAGAATAGGATTAATAACACTCACAAAAGTGATATCACAGAAGGCTCATCAGTGGGATAAACCCACTCAGTGTGAGTCCTCAGCCCGCGGCAGCAACAGGGGTCCCTGATCCTCAGAGCCGTCTTGCAGCATGGGGTCCAAAAGCCAGCAAGATGGCCACCCGGCGGCTTCCTGGACCAGCATGGAGCGCATGCAGCTGAAAGTGACATCACATGGAAGGGGCGGTAATGTGTGTTGGAACATGCACATTTGCTCTTTCGTAAAACTGGCCTTGCTGGTCACGGATGCCACCGGGCTGCCATCTTGCTGGCTATTGGATCCACTGTTGCTACACAGCTCTGAGGATCAGGGACACACATTGCTGCTGCAGGCACACCGAGTGGGCTCATCCCGCTGATGAGCCTTCTGTCACATCACTTTTATGTGAGTGCTTTTAATTCTATTCTTTTATAATAAACTTTGGCTGCTACACTTAGAGGTGCTTTCTCTCCTTGTTGTTCAGTTGCAGAGTCCACTCAATTCTCTGAAAATCTGCCCAAGTGTCTGGCTGCCCTACCTTAGCTGTTTATGGGACATTTGCATATGGCTGTTTGAGAGGCCCATCTTCCTAGTGCGCCGTTGACTTTGTAGATGTGATGGCTGCTTTAGTTTTCTTTTTGCAGACTTTTACCACCTTTAGTTTCACCTGGTGATCTGGCCAGAACACACTTCCTGTATTAGAGTGCCTACACTATGGATGAAGGAGCACAGGGGGCACCTTTGAACAGTAGCATTGGCAGTCTGGGGGGAGGAGAGTGTTAAAGCTACTAGGAGATTTAAAAACACTAACACATTCAAGCCAAACTCCAGCTATGTCTAGTAAACACAATGAGAAAATCGGATGAACAATCATCCTTTTTTTTTTTTTTTTGTATGCTAGTCTCATATCGAAAACGAAAATATTCTTGTATGACAGAATACAACTTTGCGCATACATAGCTATATGTTCCAGCAGTGAATCAGGCATGATGCAATGTATGTGTGACCTCTCTTCTAGCTTTACACATTCGGAGTGCCAAGGAGATATCAACTTTATTAGAAGGTCAAATGATATGCAAACCAAGAGTTTTTGGGGGGGTTATACGATAATTGCTTCCGTTGCTCTTTTGTTCTTCCGAGTCCTTTTGTTTCCAATCATGAGCAGTCTCTGGCACTTGAGTTTTTAATGTGCAAATACTATACTAATTACACAAAAAAATTGTTTGTTCTGTTATCTAATGAGAACATTTTTTAGTCATGTCCAGGGGCGGACTGATCATTTGGAAACTCGGGCACTGCCCGAGGGCCCGGGGTCAGTAGGGGGCCCCATGAGATGCCCCTGGTACCTTTTTCATAGGCTTTTTTGAGTTTGGGCAAGGCCACAGGGGCCCCATGATCCCCTATTGCCCGGGGGCCCCATAAGTTGTCAGTCCGCCCCTGGTCATGTCCCTTTGGAAACTTTCTTTTGAACTATTGTGATCAGCTGTCAGAATTTGTGTACTAACAAAAATGATCGAATATCGCTCTGAATGTGATTATTTTCATCCGGTTTTCTCATTGTGTGTACTAGGCATAATCAGGGGCGGACTGACCATTTAGAAACTCGGGCACTGCCTGAGGGCCCGGGGTCAGTAGGGGGCCCCATGAGATGCCCCTGGTACCTTTTTCATACGCTTTTTTGAGATTGGGCAAGGACACTGGGGCCCCATGATCCCCTATTGCCCGGGGGCCCCATGAGTTGTCAGTCCGCCCCTGGGCATAATGCTTTATATTTAGTCACAGCAAACAGTTTTTTTCTTCCTTTTGGGATAAAGGATTAACATAAAGAAATAAAATCTGCTCATTTTAAGAATCCATGTCAGTGTTAAATGGTTCCTCTCATCCCTGCACCTTGATATATCTGAAAGAGAGCTTGTTCTTTTGAACAAAAAAAAACAGATTTACTGGCCAGATCACCGGATGAAAATAGAAGAAAGAAAACCTAAATAAGAGAAACAATGCAGCCACCACATCTAAAAAATGGTAAGCTGCAATATAATACATTTTTGCTTTGGAGTTTAATACAAATTTATTGGATCTCTGTGTTCATTAATACATCCTTAAAGTTCTCTACACTTTCAAATGTTTTTCTTGGTTTAACTAAGTATTATTGTAGTTATATTCCCTGTGTTGTTTTTTTGCCTGACCTCTTAATGATGGGTTCACTTGTTGGCAGCTGTTTGTTGTGCCATGGCTGATAAATTCCTTTTTGTCCATGTATTCATTCACCTCGCTTGTCCCTATTTGCTAAAGTGACAGGCAACTTCGCATCCAGTGCATGTTTTACCATTTCCTCTGTGTTACATCAAAATATGGGAGTGCTAATGTGATGAAAATACATATCTTCCAATATGGTGATCTCTTTTATAATTGCTCTGCCTGTTTGTGTCTGTGTCAGATCTAATACTGTTTTTCTCTCACCTGCACCTATACTAGACGGAGATACCCAGAGATTGTGGGACATGTAGTTTCTTCACAGGAA